GGCAACAGAATAGAGTTGAGAAAATGAATCCCTTTTTTTGCGAAGGTGGGGAGTTATAGCTATGTAAGGTTACAAATAGTTTCTGAAGTTGGTCGGTTTTATAGAACTACCTTTTTTAAAAAAAATCTTTGTTATAAAAGATGGCTTGATGGATAGGAAAAGTGGGGAGGGTTATATTCAGAAACATAATACAAAAACAAAAGATATCAGTAAAAATTAATTTAAAAATCATTTTGGGAAAATTTGATCATATTTGTAGGCAGAAGGAAAAGAAGGGGAGATATTGAAGATTCCTTGGTTAGAGGGGACATGATTGGTCCAGCAGAGTCCTAGCGGGGGAAAAAGATGAGGGGAAATGGAGTAAAGTGTGCAGGTGAAAGAGTTAACCTTAGAGTTGATGCAGATTGTCTTCTGATATAGCAAAGAAGAAAAGAGAGAACAGGTAGACACTGAAAAACTTGGTGGATAGTATTTACTTTTTCTTTCTCTTTTTTAAGTCATTTACTCCCTACAAAGTGGGAGGAAGTAAGATCATCTGTTGAATATGGAGGGACTGAGGGATTGAGAAGAAAGTCAGAAAATGTGTAGGATTAAGGAATAGAACTTGATGATATTCCATTAAGCTCCATTGGGTTAACAGTACAAATACTTAGTGAAGGAATCAGATCTGTTTTTGAGCCTTACTCCAGCAGCAGTGCAGTAACCCAAGAGTGCTAGGGAAAAATTTGACTGGAGATTAGTCTGAGATTACAAGGCCAAAGAAGTAGGGACAAAACGATTGAAAGGAGCAGATGACTTAAGGTTCCAGTTTATAAAGTGGTCTTTTCTCCTTATAGTTCAGGGCCTATAGATTTGGGTTAAAAAGAACAACTCACCTGTTGCTCTAATGTAGAGGTTTTTGTAAATTATCACCACCATTCAGTATTTACTGAGGGAGGACTGATTATTTATATCTGTCAGAAGGTTTACTCAAGATATTTTACTAAACATAGCGCAGTGATTTGGAGTCCAGGGCCATTACAAAACTATCAATTTGGATGGGGAAGATCCTTAGAGTTTCTGGCCAGAGCAGAAAACAATTGCTATTAACACTCCTAAGCCATCAAAATCTAAACAGTGAACCTTGGAGTCTTGGGTGGGGGCTATTATTGGCCATTCTATGAGAGCCAAAGTGATTTCGGTTTAAAGGTGTAGTCAAATATCTCTATTTGAAACACAGTAGTTTTTTTAAAGCCTGTTTTTAAGAGCTGTATTTCAAAAAATCATAAACGAAAACTCGTGGGACAAAAAGTTAATTGTCCTAGCCTTTTTATTTCTATTTATTTTGTAGGAGGAAATAGACAGTAAAACTATACTAGTGAGGGACCTCGACTTTGCTCTGTCAGAACTAGATGACCATAAAATAACAAGAAAGAAGTTGAGATGAATGGCATTTTAGAAAAGTTAGATATGATAGACTTATGGAGGAAATGGAATTTTTTTCTCAGCTGTACATGGCACCTGCACAAAAACTGATAATATTAAGACATAAAAACCTCATAACCAAATATGTGAAAGCAGAAATATTAAATGCATCCTTTTCAGACCACAATTCAGTAGAAATTACATTTAGTAAATGGCCATGGAAACATATATTAAAAATTAATTGGAAACTAACTAATCCTAAAGAATGAATGAGTCAAAGAACAAATTATAGAAACAATCAATAATTTCATTAAAGAGAATGAAAACAATTGGACAACATACCAAAATTTATAGGATGTAGCCAAAGCAGTACTTGGGGGAAAATTTATACATCTAAACTCTTGGATGACTCTTTTTTTTGGGGGGGGGTTAGGCAGTGGGGTTAAGTGACTTGCCCAGGGTCACACAGCTAGTAACTGCCAAGTGTTTGGTCTGAGGCCAGGTTTGAACTCAGGTCCTTCTGACTTCAGGGTTGGTGCTGTATCCACTGCACCACCTAGCTGTCCCTATATGTCTAAACTCTTGAATCAAAACAAGAGAGAAAGAGCAGATCAATGAATTGGACATGCAACCAAAAAGATAGAAAAAGAACAAATTAAAAATTCACAAATGCTAAATTGGAAATTCTGAAAATCAAAGGAGAAATTTAAAAATTGAAAGTAAAAAAATTGAACTAATAATAAAACTAGGAGCTGGTTTTATTAAAAAAATAACATAGTTAAACCATTGGTTAATTTGATTTTAAAAAGAGCAAAACCAAATTACCAGTATCAGAAATGAAAAGGGTAAATTCACCACCAATGAAGAGGAAATTAAAGCAATTTTTAGAAGCTATTTTGCCCAAACATATGCCACTAAATCTGACAATCTAGTGAAATGGATGAATATTTACAAAAATATGAATTGTTCATATTAACAGAAGAAATAGTATACACAAATAACCCTATCTTATAAAAAGAAATTGAAAAAGCCATCAGGGAGCTCCCTAAGAAAAAATCCTCAGGATCAGATGGATTCACAAGTGAATTTTATCAAACTATTTGGAAAAATAGGCAAAGAAAGAGTGCTACCAAATTCCTTTTATGACACACATATTGTGCTGATACCTATATCCAGGAAGAACATAAACAGGGAAGACTACAGTCCAATTTCCCTAATGAATATTGATGCAAAAAATTTAATCAAAATACTAGCAAGAAGATTACAGCATTATATCTCAAAGATCATACAAATAGGATTTATACCATGAATGCAAGACTGGTTCAATATAAGGAAAACTATCAGCATAATTGACAATATCAGTAACAAAGCCAACAGAAACCATATGGTTATCTCAATAGATGCAGAAAAAAACTTTTGAGAAAGTATGTTGCATTATATTAAAATATCAAATATTAAAAACATTAGAAAGCATAGGAATAAATGGAGCTTTCCTTAAAATGATAAATTGTATCTATCTAAAACTATCCACAAACATTGTCTGTAATGGGGATAAGCTAGAAGTCTTCACAGTAAGATCAGTGGTGAAACAAGGATACTCATTATCACCACTGTCATTTAATATTGTTTTAGAAATGTTAGCTATAGCAATAAGAGAAGAAAAAGAAATTAAAGGAATTAGAATAGGTAGGAAATGCTGGAGAATCAACTGAAAAAACTAGTTGAAATAATTAACTGAAAACCTAAATGAAATGGATGAAAAATCACAAGAATATAATTGCTCAGATTAACAGAATGGGAAATAAAATATTTAACTTTGTTTTAGAAAAAAGAATTGAACAAGTCAAAAATGAATTCCCAAAGGAAAAAAAGCCTAGACCAAGTGAATGCTACCAAACATTTATAGAAACATTAATTCCAGTACTACCTAAAGTGTTTGAAAAAATAGGTGAAGAAAGAGTCCTGCCAAATTCCTCCTATGACACAAGTATAGTCTTAATATTTAAACTAAGGAGAGTCAAATAAGAGAGGAAACTATAGACCGATTTTTCTAGTGAATATTGATGCCAAATATTACATTATTGTTAATAGTGTTTACAGACATCCATGCTTTACTAGATTTTATAGATAAAGCCTTTAACTTTTCTCCATTACATAAAATGTTTGATCCCATAGTATCCATGAAGGAATTACTTCCTGCCCCCCACCCCCAGTCTTCCTGCCTGCCTGCTGAATGTTGCTGGATAAAGTCATGAAATCAGTATTTTACCTTCTATACATTTATGATGCATGACCTAAGCCAGTTCCTCACTGCGGCCCAGAAATATTTGGCCAAATGGATCCCCTCTGTGTGTGTGTTTCTATAAGAGTTTTCTGTGTTCCCTCTTTTCCCAATGACACTATGTGTAGTTGTGTGAAAGTGTGTTCTTAGTTCGTGGAATGGGAAGGATGTTTTGTTACTACTGATCTTATAATACTATTTCAGTAAATATCTTTCCTTTGAGCTAATTGGGTCAACTGCCTACCTGACTATTAAAAGTATAATTAGGGGCAGGCAGGTTAGCGCAGTGGATAGAGCACCAGCCCTGGAGTCAGGAGGATCTGAGTTCAAATCTGGGGTCATACACATAACACTTATTAGCTGTGTGACCCTGGGCAAGTCACTTAACCCCATTGCCTAGCCAGAAAAAAACAAAAAAAAAAAGAAAAAAAAAGAAATTAGTAGTTGTTATACTGTGGAGGTGAAATCTGTAAAGGTGGATTTGGTGAGGAAGGGAGAAGCCCAGAGGTATCACTACATACAGATGAGTAAACTGAGGCCTAAACAGGGGAAGTTCAACATCAGTTAGATGTGGTGAGTGCCAGGACCAGAATTGAAATCTGGATCTTCTGACTATAGTTTTATTAGGGTTAAAAAAAACCACCTTAAAAAGTCATTACTTTATAATTGCTTTATATTTCTTGTTTTGATTTATCTGTGGCTTTCATTATAGAGGATTGTTGTCTAGTTTCATTGTAGCATACCCACATAGATGCTATATAATAGCATTCACCCCTTCTTTCCATATATCTCCTCTTCCCCATCCTCCAAAGGGGCTGAATTGGAACATATATCTATGCCATTATTTATATAAAAGCCTTGGCAATTTGTGTCAGCCCTATGGAGAATTCTAAATCTTAGCCAAACTGAGTCAATTAGTCCCAAACTGAATATGAAATGAATGTTTCAGGAACCTAAATTGACTAGATCAGAGATGCTTAACCATATATCTGTGAATTTTTTTTTTACAGATTTTTTATAACAGTTTCAATATAATTGATTTCCTTTGTAATCCTATGTATTTTATTTTACATATTTAAAACATTATTCTAAAAAAGGATCTATAAATTTCACCAGACTGCTAAAGAGATTCATGCTAGAAAAAAAGTTAAGAACCTCTGACCTAAAAAGTCCACTATTTAATTATACCAGATATCCTTTCTGTCAAAATCATATGTGCATATATACACATATATACACATACATATATGCATACAGAAAAAATTATGAACAAGCATAGGAGTTATTGGAGGTTGGGTAAGATACTCATACATACTTTTTGCTCTTTTCGTTCTACAGCCATGCTGCATTTCTCTATTCCATGGTTTCTCAAAAAGTCTCGGAGGTAGCCAAATAATGTTCCAATTCCATAACACAAGTAAGTGAAAATAGCAGCATACATTGGTACTTCTTCAAAAGATTCAACAAATGGCTTATTGTAGAAATATGGCTTTGCATTTTGCTGAAAATGTGAAAGAAGATCTCAGGTTAATGTAGTCTACCTTGTCAGTTGTTTACATCTGCACTAGGCAGATGTACTGGTGATTTTCTTTTCTTTTCTTTTCTTTTTTTTTTTTAAAGATACATGCATTTTAATAAAGTATAAATCATCAATGAGCAGAAGAAGTCGTACCCTTAGAATCTTAGTAATAAAAATTAAAACAACTTTTGATACTGCACATATGCAGGGAATTGGTAAAGATACTAAAAATGATAAAATTCCAAATTGGTAGGTCTGTAGGTAGACAGATACTCTATTATCCTTCTGTTGAGCCTCTGAATTGGTGCAATCTTTTTGCAAAGCAAACTGGAAATATTGAACAAGACTCGTAGTACTTTTTATGCCCTTTGACCTAGTTTCTTTTTTTTAAACATTTATTATTTATTTATTTTAGTTTTCAACATTCACTTCCACAACTTTTTGAGTTCCAAATTTTCTCCCTATCTCACTGCTCCACCCACCCCAAGACAGTGTGCTTCTGAATACCCCTTCCCCTAATCTGCCCTCCCTTCTATCACCATCACCTCCCCTTCTCTTATACCCTTCCCCTCCTATTTTCCTGTAGGGCAGGATAGATTTCTATACCCCAGTGCTGGTATATCTTATTTCCCAGTTGCATGTGAAAACAGTTCTTAACATTTGCTCTTAAAACTTTGGGTTCCAAATTTTCTCCCTTCGTGCCTCCCCAGCCACGTTCATTAAGAATGCAAGCAACTTGATACAGATCACCCATGGGTAGTCATGCAAAACACTTCCATAATAGTCATGTTGTGAAAAACTAACTATATTTCCCTTCATCCTATACTGCTCCCCATTTGTTCTATTCTCTCTTTTGCCCCTGTGCCTTCTCAGAAGTGTTTTCTTCTGATTATCCTCTCCCCCAATCTGCCTTCCCTTCTATCACTCCCACCCCCCACTCTTTTATCCCCTTACCCCCCATTTCCCTGTAGAGTAAGATAGATTTCCATACCCAATTGTGTATATTATTCCCTCCTTAAGCCAAATCTGATGAGAATAAGATTCACTCATTCCTTCTCACCTTCCTTCACTTCCTCTCCACTGTAAAAGCTTTTCCTTCCCTTTTTTATGTGAGATAATTTATCCCATTCTACCTCTCCCTTTCTTCTTCTCCCAGTATAATCTTCTCTCACCCCTTAATTTTATTCTCCAGATATCACCCCTTCATCTTCAACTCATGCTGTGCCCTCTATCTATCAGTCTATCTATACATACAAGTTTTCCTCTCCAACTACCCTAATACTTACAAAGGTCTCATGAGTTACAAATATCATCTTTCCATGTAGGAATGTAAACAGTTCAACCTTAATAAGTCCCTTATGATTTCTCTTTCCTGTTTACCTCTTCATGCTTCTATTGAGTCTTGTATTTGAAAGTCAGATTTTCTATTCAGCTCTGGTCTTTTAATCAAGAATGCTTGAAAGTCTTCTATTTCACTGAATGTCCATTTTTTCCCCTGAAGGACTATACTTAGTTTTGTTGTGTAGGTGATTCTTGGCTGTAATCCTATCTCCTTTGCCCTCTGGAATATTATATCCCATGCCCTCCTATCCCTTAATGTAGAATCTGCTAAATCTTGTGTTATCCTGATTGTGTTTCCACAGTACTTGAATTGTTTCTTTCTGGTTGCTTGCAATATTTTCTCCTTTCCTGGGAACTCTGGAATTTGGCTGCAATATTCCTAGGAGTTTTCCTTTGGGGATCAATTTCAGGAAGTGATTGGTAGATTCTTTCCCTTTCTATTTTACCCTCTAATTCTAGAATATCAGGGCAATTTTCCTTTTGTTTTTCCAATGAGATGTTTCACATTGTCTTCTGTTTTTTCATTCTTTTGGTTTTGTTTTACAATGTCTTGGTTTCTCATAAAGTCACTACCTTCCAATTGCTGCATTCTAATTTTTAAGGAAGTATTTTCTTCAGTGACCATTGGATTTCCTTTTCCATTTGGCCAATTCTGCTTTTTAAGGCATTCTTCTCCTCATTGGCTTTCTGGACCTCTTTTGCCATTTGGGTTAGTCTGTTTTTTAAGGTGTTATTTTCTTCAGTTTTTTGGGGGTCTCCTTTAGCAAGCTGTTAACTTGTTTTTCATGATTTTCTTGCATCATTCTCATTTCTCTTCCCAGTTTTTCCTCTACTTCTCTTACTTGCTTCTCAAAATCCTTTTTGAGCTCTTCCATGGCCTGGACTGATTCATATATTTCTTGGAGGCTTTGAATGTAGCAGCTTTGACTTTGTTGTTTTCTTGTGGTTGTATGTTTTGATCTTCTTTGTCACCAAAGAAAGAGTCTGACTGTTTTTTTGAGGTATTTACTCATGTTCCCAGCCAATTACTTGAGTTTTAAACTCTTTGTTAAGGTAGGGGTCTGCTTCCAGTGTGGAGAATGTACTGTCCCAAGCTTCAGGGATTTTATGCAGCTGTTTTCAGAGATACTTCTAGGGACCTGTAAATTTTCAATTCTTCCAAGGTGGTATGATCAAGAGCAAGGTTTTTACTCATTTCCTGTCCTGTGCTCTGGTCTGTGAGTGACCACAAGCACTCTTTTCTGCCTTGGAACTATGAGAAGGATTCTCTCTGCACCACCACTACAAGCTCCACCACGCTACCGCTCCTCCTCACCAGAGGACCACCGTCCAGGACTGTGACCCAGATCTAAGCATGGACAAAACAAGAGAATCCTGCCTGGGTACCAGCAAAGTGATCCCTGCAATTTCCCTTTGAGCAGCCACTCGCTTCCCCCTCAGTCTGTGGGCTGAGAGCTCTGGAAGCAGCTGCCATCCCAGAGCTGAGCTGGGACTGGGACTGAGACCAAGCTTCTCTGTCATTGAGGTTGATAGACCTTTCCTACTGACCTTTTAAGTTGTCTTTGGTGTTTGTGGGTTGAGATGTCTGGAAACTGCTACTGCTCCCCTTGATTCAGTCCCCTGAGGACTGCTCCAGGTTCGCTCAGGCTTTGTTTCTGCCTGTGTGGTCCATGCTGAATTGCACTCCTGTCCCAGTCTGGCTCAGTAGACCTTTCCAGTCAACCATTCAGGTTATCTTGGGCTGAAAATTTGTTTCGCTCTGTCTTTTTGTGGGTTCTGCTGCTCTAGAATTTGTTTAGACCTGTTTTTTATAGGTATTTGGAGGGGTTTGGGGGAGAGCTCAAGCAAGTCACTGCTTTTACTCTGTCATCTTGTCTCTGCCCCCTGTGGTGGTGATTTTCAGTCCTGTTTTCTAAGTCTTCAGATGGCAAAATATTTTTGCCTCTCAGCAGTTTAGTTTGAGGTAGAAGAATTGTCTGGAAGTTAAATGGGGAAGTGGATAGATTACTGGACCTGGGGTCAAGAAAACCTGAGTTCAGCTTCAGCTTTGGACACTCACAAACTGAATGACCCTGGGCAAGTCACCTAATCTCTGTTTGTTTCAGTTAACTCAACTCTAAGAAAATGGGGACAATACTAGCACCTACCTCACAAGGTTGTTATGAGTATCAAATGATATAAAATTTGTAAAAGCAACTAGCACTGTGCCTGGCACATCGTAGGTGCTATATAAGTTCTTATTCCTTTCCTGAATATGTGGAATATTAAAATATAAGAAGATGGGCAATAAAGTCAATAAAGTAATAGCTTCATACCAGTAACAGCAATCATACATGAATAAAGTAGATTAAAAAAAAGCTTATTTGTCTAGGTAAGCCTTTTGCAAAGTTTTTGATTGTTCATCTCTATTAATAAAAAATTTTGAATTATGAACTCTAATATGTTTATATTTAAAAATTTTAAACATTTATTACTATACTGATAATTTTATATATTATTAAATTTACACAATAGAAATTTGGAAAGGATGATTAAGATGAAATAATATCTAGTAATGGTGTACATAATACCTTTTTGTGCTAGCAGAGATTTTTATTTACATGGATAGAGATTAGACCTGTGATTTCATGGATATAGGGAATTTCTAGATAAGGAAACTTCCATGTTTTCTGTACTTTGTAGTATCAGAGACATGCCCAGAACATTGGGAAATTGAATGATGTGCCTGGGGTCAGAATGAAATATGTGCTAGAGGCAGTATTTCTTCTTAGATTTTTGTGACTCCAAGACAAAGTTGTGCCATAATTCCCTTTTATTATTGTTAATAATGGTATTTTTATCCAAGGGTCTTTGACTAGGATTATTTCTGTTGTCAGATTTTCCTAGGGGTCTTCAGTAATTTTGATGTATGTATGGGAGCCACCTTATTGTAAAAGAAACTCATGTTATATTTTGTTCTATGAAATAAACAAATAGTAAGCACAATAGGATTTTATATCCTCTACGTATTTTAGTTTATTATGAAATGGAAAGATGTGCTCTATTGTTGAGCACAATGATCTGAAAGAGCTCTTTCAGAAATCCGCTTATTCCCTACTGACATCAAGGATGACTCTGATTTTGTTTACATATGACTCTAATGAAGATTTTGTAAAGGTGTGCAGATAGGCATAAAGGTCAGTAGATACTGATGTTTCCTAAGTCACCTCTGATAATAAACATAACAGAGCTTATAAATGAGGGAAATGTATGTTTGCCAGAAGGAATTTACTACTGTGATGGAGGTGAACATCACAGAGTGCAGGTAAAAGAGGGATTTCCTGTCCTCCAAATGCTTCTATTTACACATGATATTGTACTAATAGCAATAATAATAATAATGATAATCAGCCCCAGACTATCGTCAAATCTTTTGGAACATATCTATAATAATTCAAAGGATTTTGGCTTGTTTGAGCACACAGAAGAAACTAAGTGGGTGAAGAATGTCTATTGCCAAGATTTCAACATTCGTTTGGATGGTTACTCTATAGAGCTTGTCCTACAGTATGTATAACTGGGACAGTACAGATAGGCAACTAGAAAGTCCAAACTTGAACAGGGTGGTTGAATGATATTTGGCAAATTTGGTCTTCTGCTAA